ACGAATCAGCGACAAAATAAAAGTGTTGCAGCTAGAACAGGACATATTATTTTTACACTGCATTATTCATCAAGAAGTGTTATGTAGAAAAGTCTTGAAATTGAATCACGTCGTTACTGTTGTGAATTTTATCTGGGTACGTGCCTTAAATCATCGACAGTTTGTTGAATTTTTGAAAGAAAGTGACTTTTACAAAATTCCTTATTACACTGAAGTGTGATGGCTTAGCATCGATAAAGTTTTGGACAGGTTTCAATATTTGCTTGATAAAATAGCATCGTTCTTGTCGATAAAAAGAAAACTACATGATTTTCCTGAATTACTAAATGAGGCACGGCTAAACGATTTCTCGTTTGCAGTAGATATTGTAAAATATTTGAATGAACTAATAATAAATCTACAAGGAAAAAAAACCAATTCACTTTCAATTATGCACTCAAAACTCAAAGCAATTTATGATAAACTCAATTTATTTGCTAAAAACTTTAATAATAAATTACTAAATGATTTCCCTTCATTACAATCACGACGAGAATCATCGAAAAATACCGATTTTCTTAAATACAGTGCAATAACACAAGACCTGCATTCTGAATTCCAAAGAAGATTTTAAGATTTCAAAGCTATTGAAAAACCTTTATCATTAATTAGTCAACCTTTCAATTTTGACATGCGAGAAGCTCCTGTTGAAATTCAACTAGAACTAATTGAGTTACAGTCAAATAATTTACTAAAAATTTTCACTCAAATGAGTTGAGTGTTTTCTATGGTGCTTTGAATACAGAACATTTCAAACATTTTTTTAACTATGTTCGAAAATACCTAGTTTAATTTGGTTCAACATACATTTGTGAAAGAACTTTTTGGTTAATCATTTGCAACGAAAAATAAAAATCGATCACAAATTACTGATGATAAATCTACACTTCGGTATTAAGGATTGCTAACAAGTGATTAGGATCCAAATTTTGAAGAAATAATATCAAATGAACATTCCAGATTTCACCTTTTCGCATTAACTAAAACTATTCTATGTTTTTAACGTTTGATGTTTGTCTTTTTCTTTTTTTATAATTCTATTTACTATTATATTTACAAAATGTAAATAAAATATAAAATGTAATAACTATGATCAAAATAAAATAATTTGTATCATTAAGAATATAAATAAAGAATATCAAAATAAAATCTTTCATTAACTGATTTTATTTAATGACCATTAATTTAAATATAATGGTCATATTTCTTTAAAAATTATGCGACATATTTTACTGGGCACAATTGTTCGCATATACACCTAAGTAAGACAACTTATTATTACTATTATCTTTTATTAACTGTCAAATTTCTCTGTCTAAATGCTTTAAATTTTAAAGGTTAAAATTTTAAAGTTTTTAAAGTTTAAAATGATACTTAAAGTGTTTTTGTCAAAAAAATTTCTTGGGCAGGGAAAAAACTCCACCCAAAACATTTGCGTGTGCACAGCATACTCGGTATAGTCCTCCGGCCTGGGACACATTTTGAAAATTTCATTTTGGCTGCACTTAAAAGTATTTGCCCACACCTGCTGTAACCATACATGTCACATGTGTGGAAGTCGTTCTGCGATTCCGCATGGCTACAGTAGCAATATATTGATCTTCTGCAAGGGTTGTAACCCTTGGGCGACCAGCTACGGACCTTCAGCCAACTGTCTATGTGCTTTGGAATTGTTTCCATAAACGCGAAATTACAGAATGATGAACGCCAAAGAAAAGAGCAACATCTGTGATCGACTGTCCTGCTTCAATGCCTCCCACAGCACGCCAGCGCTCAGAATCTTCCATTCATCTTCTGGAAGTCATAGAAACACGTATGTCTTGAAAACAAATTGTACGAAAGTTTTAAACACCTTCTATCAGCACTTACAATCAACTTCTGGAACCCTTCATAAAGCTGGCTTCTTATAATACTGCCCTTTTTGCCTATTTCTTGAAAATGAAAGTGTGATTGGCTGTTACCTAACATATTTGCATACTTCCATATACCTCTGCAGCGAATTGCATCCTCTTCAATTCTGATTGGCTTCTAGAAATTAGCATTTTCCTCTCCGTGCTTAACTTTTGGAAGGGAGTGTATATATATTCGGTCTACCAGAAAGTTATGTCCATTTTATGACAAATTTTCGACACGTAAGCACATGTTCATTTGCCGTACGTTCGGGTCTCTATTTTTATCACTTAATGTATACATACTGAAATAGCAAGTTAACTAAAACAAAGTTGATTCACATTAGTCTTAAGTATGAAGCGATAGTGTTACCCATGGCCACAGATAAAGTTCATTTATGCCACTGTATTTTATACAAATTTCAACAAGGAAGAAATGCTACAGAAGCATGTAGAAATTTATTGAAAGTGTTTGGTGAAGGTACAGTTTCTGATAAAGCATGCAGAAGATTGTTCGAAAAATTTGAAACAGGTGATTTTGAACTTTCTGGTAAGCCAAGTTCTGGGCGATCATCTTTGATCAGCGATGGAGTTGTTATGACCATGTTGGAGCAAAATCCTTTTGTGACAACATCGGAGATCGCAAAAAGGCTTAATTCTGCTCAGACCATTTTGAACCATATTTGGAGGCAGTGGTGGCTCGTAATAAGCACTGTGGAACTGCAGCACCCCTTATTTCCACTTATTATTATTTTTAATATTCAATATAGTGTGCCCTTTAGTCTTTAAATTCTTTCTTTATACTTTTGCAATACATAATCCAAGCTTAATTTCAGTAGCCATCCCCCACTTTATGAAAAAGGTACGAAAGTCTATGTTTGGAACTGCGTGCTTCACAGTTCCAGCGGCGTGGTGTTTGGCTGTTCTGCGCATGCGCACACAGAAAACAGCACGCAAGACGGGTAGAGAGAAGAGCACTGTCGCTCTTGCAGTGCCGAAATTCTGGCATGTTGTTGGAAACGTGATTTCTTTTTACTCCGCGCGTGAGGTATTCCTCCACAAGGTGGAACTTCAGCATACGGGCCATAAACAGAGTTCATGAAAATTCGCAACCTTTTATAGAATTGCCTTACTGAAATTCAATCAACATCAAATGCAGATCAAACTATTGCAAAAACAACAGGAATTTTAAAATATCTAAATGATGATAATTTCAAGTTTTGGTTAGAGCTTTTTTATCAGATGCCTCATGTTGAAATAATATACAACTGAATGCAATCCAGAAAATTCAAAGTTAACGAATATATAACAAATTTCAATACTGTTATTTTAGAATTAAGAAAAAGTACTGTGGGAACTTTTTAAAAAACACTGATGGCAGAAGCTAAAGAAATATGTGACTTTATACTATGTATTGATATAATGCACTGATATTCTTCCATTAAACACTTAGCAGCTGCTAACTTGTTAAACAAGAAATGCTTCGCTAGTTTTAGGAATGAACATTCTACAGAAGAAAGAAGAAATAGTACTGACCACTGAAGCATATCCAATGATTGACAAAGAAAAGATTGAAACTGACCTAAACATATACTTGCAAATTAATTGAGCTACTGAAATTTATCTTCGAAAATAATCTAGATGATGTTCTTAGTGAAATTACGAAACTGATAAAAATTCTGAGAGTTCCCATAATTACATCAGAGGCAGAAGGCTGCTTTTCAGCATTGAAAAAAGTGAAAATTTTTCTAAGAAGCACTAGGAATTCGGAAAGACTAAATGCGCTTGCATTGCTTTCAATAAAGAAAAATTTCCTCAGTTGTCATCCAGAGATCAAGGAGAAAATTATTGATCTTTTCTCGCACAAATTAAAACAGAAGAATTGGATTTCATTTTTAAATCAATAGAGAAAGATCGAATTGTAACAATTTTGGTTAAAGTAATTAAGAAATGTTTAATTTTTTTCTTGTAAGATTTCATGAAGTTTCAAAATAAATTTTCTTTTTATACATGTTTGTTTCCTTTTAGACAATTTTAAAACAAAGGTTAATTTTTTTTGGAATAGCACCCCCAGTAATTTTATCCACGAGCCACCACTGTTTGGAAGATAGGATTGGTGTGGAAATATTCAAGATGGGTGCCTGGATTTTCGAGTTGTCATATGCACATATCTCTGCTTGCTCCAAACAAAATGAAGCCCTACTTGAACCAAATGATAACTGGGAATGAAAAGTGGATCCCCCATGGAAACATCATAAGGGAAAGGGCATATTGTGAACCCAGAAAACCTAGCCCTCCCACCTCTAAACCAAATTTGACCCCGAATAAGGAGAACGTTGTGTATATGGTGGGGCATTCGAGGACCAGAACATTATGAGCTTTTAAAACCGAACAAAAAACTCAATTCGGAGAAGTACTGTCAGCAATTAGACAACTTAAAGACAACAGTCCAAGAAAAGATGCCGACGATTTTCAACAGGAAGCACATCGTACTGCATCATAATCATGCCAGGCCACATGCTGCTTTGGGAACTCGTCAAAAAAATTGCAGAAGTAGGCTGGGAAATTCTGTCACATAAACCATATTCCCCGGACTTAGCACCCTCTGACTATCACTTGTTTTTGTCCTTATAAAATTTTTTGAAGGACAAAAAATTCAAAAATGAATTAGATATCAAACAAGCACCAGCTCTATTTTTTCCATCAAAAGTTACAAAACTTTTTAGTTTTTCAAAAATAGGATATACAAATTGCCTTCACGCTGGCAAGAAGTCATTAATAATAAGGGCAATTATATTATTTTAATAAATTTTATTGATGGTAAGGACAATTTGTATTTTGTTTTATTCCAAAAACGGACAGAACTTTCCAGTAGACCGTATATGTGCATTTTGAAATATATCCAAGAAATTAAGGCAATATAGTAAAAGTATAAAAATCCAGGTATAAAGTAGCACAGGCATTAAAATCAAGAAAATATCTTGTTCTGATGGCAGTTTTCAAAAATTTGGGTTTTCTTAGTGAAATACTGTGCAAGTCAGAAGGTTAAGTAAAAATTTAAAAAATATTTACCTGAAGTTTTGATAAAGATAATACATCACTGTTTTGAGGTTTTTGCCACACCGTCTTCTGATTTGCAGAATTATAATAGTAGAAACGTGATGAGTTTGGATCAAAAATTTCCCACCAGAGATTGTCATCCGATTTCTTTCTGAAATTGAATGAAAAACAACAATTACATTATCTACATTTCTTTTAAATATATGTAAGATAGAATGCATATAAATAAACATTCTGACTTTAATTTACAATAGTCCCTAAGTCTCCATTTTAATCTGGCTATATTCCCTTTCTATCCTAAAAAGAGTAATTGCTTATAATAAATATCTCTAAATTTATTCTTTCAAAAATTAATCATTGTCATACGATTCTTATACAATGCCAAGGATGCAGGCACTTATGTAAAACACCATGCAATAATAATTTTAAATTTGAGAAACCAAAGTTAAATTAAGCCAATGGGAATAAATCTAAACTGAAACTAAATCCTTCCGAACTGAGCTTTCATCTTGAATATGCCATATTCATTTTCTTGTTTCACTACTGCCATCTTACTAATGCTTGCTGGGTACTTTTCCATTTCGCCAGCACAAATCTCGCCAAACAGACTTTGTTGGCAACAACACACAGTATACACATAAAAAATATTATCAAATGTTAGTGCTAAGAATTTTTTATTTTGAAGGCATAAACATTTAATTATGGTTTAATATTTTGTAAAAAGCAAATAAATGAAGACAATAAATTTGTAAAAAGACATTAATTTAAGAATTTACTATGCTTTAATGGTTCAACACCCTGATTCGCCGGTGATCCCAAGTGATCTCATCTCACGTAAACTACGCTACAAAAATCTAATTTTCTCAGTAATTACCTACATTAATTTCAAGTTAAATCTTAATTTGGAATACAAGTTTGAATGCAAGAATTATTTTAATTCGTACGAGTAGCTTACTCAGAAATTATGTAAAACTGCAGTGCTTTACTTTGCTAGTGCATTCTCATTAGAATTGATGAATTTAACACTTGATTTTGCCTTTTCTATAATTTCGCCTTCGGGTGAGTGGTATGATTGCATTCCAATTGACTTAATTACTGTGAATTCTCTTAGAACATAAAATTTAAATATCTTGTAAAAATTCCATGTAATTGTATGCCAGTATTGAAAGAAACAAACAATCTGATAAGAAATGGCTGCGACTTGTTTTGAAAATAAGGCGTAAAAAGTTACCAGCGAAGATATTCCATTTGGCATCAGTTGTACCATTACTGGCGAAGTTATCGTTTGCACCGGCAAAACAGAAAAGTACCGCTTGCTGTTTCCATCTGTCTCTGAATATATTTTAAAAATATAGAAGGTTTCTAGAAAAGGTAAACTTATTGCATCAATTTTACTTGTACTGTCTTAAAAAAGTGTTTCTTAATGAAAACGCAGAAATATTAGACTAGCTATGATTGCAAGTATCTCGCATATTCTCTTAAAAATTATAACATATATATTAAACAAGACAAAAAATTTAGCAATTTTATAACTGTTTAAAAATTTAGCCATCTTAATAAGCATCTTGATGAAAATGAAATATACAATATCTGATATATCTTTTCTCATCTTTAAAGAATCTGATTTAACTGAACCAAGAAAAAGAAAAAAAACTGAACATTTATATAATACAAGATATTTAACAAAGATTTTTCAGATTTCAGAGGGCTTACATAATAGCACCAGGTGGGGGATGCCATACACATTCACCAGTAAACATATTCACATATATTTCTTCTTTGGTACAAGGTTCTGTAATTTCAAACCATTCTACCCTATAACAGAAGAAGGAAATACATCTTTTTATATCTTTAATCATATCTTTTAAAATAAATATTTACAGTAAATACAAAGATTAAGGAAATCCACACAAATGAATTAGAACAAATTCTCTCTTTCCTCTCCCCCCCCCAAAAAAAAAGGAATGTTTGATTTGAATTCAGTTTACATCTTGTGACTTACAACTCTGCCTATTTAGTTGGTGATAAAAATTATAATGCAGCATTTATCAGTTAATTAATTTTAATCGTCTTTTACTTAGACCGAATGTACTGTCTAAGAAACCTAAGTATTTGTTACGTGTAATATAAATTAAACATACATAAATTATTTGCTACGAGTAATTACAAGACGCCAAAACATTCATTTCTGACTTTTTAAAATTTAGCATCTTTACAGCCTTCTAGAATGCAGTATAACATAATAAATCTTCCAGATGTGATATAATTTCACTTGATGCCCTAAAAATTACTAAAAAAAGTTTTTAAAAAATTGTTTATATATTTCAAGATTAATAATATCACTTAATCAATCAATAAATCCATCAAATTCTTATCTAAAAATGACTAATGATTCATTATAATTACTGAATAGTTTAAAAAAATGCTAAAACTTTTGCATTTTTTATGCAAATAAACATTTAGCTGCATACTGTAATTACATTCTCAATCTCCCAATTGGTTCGGTGCAAAAAGTAATACCGTTAATATTCACATTAACTAAAAAATTGGCTGAGAACAGCTGCAAGATAATAATGATATCAATGTGCTTCAGAAACAAATGTTTGGTGATGAGTGAAAATAAAATCGATCAAGACAATTAGATATTACTTAGATAAATTAGTAGATTACGACTAAAACATTTTAAGGTTACAGCATTTGTTAAATATATACAAGTGTAAGATCATTGACAGGAAACTTAGCCCTCAACGCTTTTTCATAAAAATAATTCATTACTTTTTATTTTAAAAATAATAATAATTAATTACAAGTTTTGATAATTTTTTAATTAAAATAATTTATTAATAACGTTACATCCAAATTAATTTGAAACGTAATTTTTTCACTTGGAAGAATTATACTGTCCGCAACAAGGCAAGTAAGAACATGGGAAAAATAATATCTGAATAAGTAATTTATATTAGACGGTCATATAAAAATTTCCTTTTATCTGAAAAATGCAATCATTAAATGAATTAACCATAACCTCCGACACTCAATAATTTTGTTCAACACATGTGACATTAATAACATATAAATTACAGTTTAAAATGCTATATACTTTTTCGATTCCATAGCAGAAGCCGATCCACACTTAACATAGGAGATGTATATTTTTAAGTTTTGATCTTTTTTTAAGATGAGCACACAAAATAAAAGAACATAAAAAAATTAAGAATGTAATTTTATAAAGCATAGATATTGCTGACCAAATATTCAAACAATATATGTTTCTTATTTTAACGCCTCCGCAGATTTTACACACAGAAAGACAAAAATAAAAGTACCGACAGATACACAGGTGTTGCCAAACTTCATAACAAATACATTATATTAATATTGCGATTAGAAATGGCCGATGCTATTCGCACCAAGGAGGTTAGAATAGAAGGAGAGAAGGTTCAACTCAAACGGTGAAGCTTGGCGGCCATGTTCCTGTTATCGCTGTGACTTGTGCAAGGAAGTCTCTAATTGCAACATTTTTTTTTTTTTTTTTTTTTTTTTTTTTTTTTTTTTTTTTTTTTTTTTTTGAAGCATGTCAGCTTGTGTTGTATATGGATGCACAAACAGATTTTCGAAAAAGATTCCTGGGATTACTTTTCACACATAAGTATTGATTTTCTTTTTCTTATGTAATTTGATAACTATGGTAAAAATATCACAATGTCATGTTTTCTTTCCAGATGTGAAAAAAAGGGACTTAATAATAATCAAAATATGTTAAATACATTTTAATGTTTCTGCTTATAGCTAGTATCTTTGTTCCTTAAGATACAATGATGTATGCTAGGATTTAAACTGTATAATTTGAACGTTTTAGGTAATTCGTTTGATAATTTTCATGAAAAGTAAGACACCAATTATTACTATTTTTATGAATTGTAAAGGTGTTAAATAAAGCAACGCTTTTCTTTATGTATTAATTATTATTCATTTTTAAGGTTTTGGAACTATTAAGAATATAATTTGAGCATTTGATCAAGATAAACTAACTTTTCTGTTGTTAATTTTTTTTGGCATAAGTTTACAAATTTGTGGGCAGTATAGCGATAAAAGTAAGTAAAATATTTACACAACTGAACATGTGGAAATATGTATCCAAAAATATAGGTATGGTTCTGTAATTTAGCTTAATTCAAGGCAATTTCTTTGAGATTCATAAATATGAAACGCGCATAAACTGAAATCACTGAATTCACATAAATCTGTTTTATTTTATTAATATTTATTTTCTTGTTGTTTAAAGGTTGTTGGTTGTGAAAAGAATCTTTAAAACTTTCATTTGAAAAAAATTGCAACCTGTGACTATTTTTTGGATAATTATCTGCTATTAATTTCAAGTTAAATATATTTTAAATGATTCTTTAATAAATTACAATATTGTTAATAAATCCGAAATATCACTTCTTAAAGGAAAAACTGGAAAGTACACCCAACAGGTTGCTAATAAAATCTAAACAAATTCTTGAAATATGCAGAAACATTATTTCTAAAGGCTTTAATGTTATGCACTGCATTTAGATTTCGAACTATTTCTTAATTTTCTGTACGTATTAATTACGGATATCATCTTTATAACTTTAAAACAAAAAACTAGCAATAGCGAAGTATTTCATTATAAATTTTACATATTTTAGTGCAAAATACATGCACGGAACAGCTTAAAAACACGTACATTTCGTTTTGAAGGAACAAACATGGACGCCGCTTGTTCGGTGGAGTTTCATTGCCCGATAGTGCAGGAAACTGCGAACCCTCCCTCCTTATATTCTAACCTCCTTGATTCGCACCCAAGGTCCGTAGAAAGAACAGATTAGCTCACTTGGAGTAAACTAAGGCTACTATAAAGGGTATAGTAGCCTTAGTTTACTCCAAGTGAGTATACTCTTAGTTACTCCAAGTGGGTATAGTAGCCTTAGTTTACTCCAAGTATCTCTAGTAGCTCTAGAGTAAACAAACGAAAAGCCAGCGACTCGTTCGGCTGTGACGTCACTGAAGTTCGCTGTAGCATCTCCTAATAGTAGTTTCGTATTTCCTTCGAAATAGTTGAATTCCTTCGAAATAGAAGAATAGTTGCATTCTGTTTTTCATCGGAAAAGTAAAAATTCTAACATTTGGAGTTGAAACTTAACTACCTAAAATATTGTTTACTGTATAGATAAGTTTTAATTACGAAAAGTTCTCTCAGTAATTTATTGTTTCACCAAAAATCTTCCAAACTTCCTTACAGAATTTTGCTATTCAAGATTCAGCTGTTTATACCGTTACTCATTTTAGCTTCAACAGACTGAAAACCTACATTTCACAAGAACTGGAAAATATGTAGTGTAGTCAGAGCTTAAATTGTGCCGGCTCCGGTACTTTTCAGTTCATGGGATAAATGATAATTCTAGCCGGAGCGCATCGGAGCCCTACATAGGAAGGCTCCGGCACTTCTTTTATGTAATTAACGGAACTACAAATTCATTAGAAATTTAATCTCAAAATTTTATTTTTAGAAGCAATAAAATTATATTAAAAATTGCTTATTAAATGTAATTTACCTCTTTACATTTTATTGAATTATTTTAATAATAATAATCAATTATTAATTAATGGTTAGATAATAATTAATAAATATTAATTGCTAATATTAATTAAATAATTATTTATTAATTTGATAATAATTAACTATTTAATTTTTAAATGATAAATGATTTTAATAATCATTTATTTATTTATTGTACTCTTGTTCCTCTTTAGTAACGGTTCTCCATAGGGTTCCGGCACTTCTACTTTTAGAAATTAAGCCCTGAGTGTAGCGATATAGAAGAAATTCAAATTAAGAATATTTATTCTATAAAGCTGTACAAACTTGTCCCTAATGTTTGGAATCTAATTTGGCTGAAATATAAATTAATTTTTTTGCTAAAGCCTACTACTTTGGTCCATTGTTTTGCTGCAGTACTTGTTTCATTTAGAAATCTTAGTTTACTTGTGGCTTTTTTTTTTTTTTTTTTTTTTTTTTTTTTTTCAGATGAACTCGCATGAGCTTTTCCTGTAATATATGATTAATTTCAAAGACTAAAAAAGAAATTGCATAAAATTATAAGTCGCTAGATTCTAAAACTTGTTTGTAATTTCTTGATGTAACAGCAGCACAAGAAACATAAACAAATGAACTATTCAAGCTATAAACTGAAGGGAGTGTAATACTTAATCAGCAGACTCTTTAAAATCAGCAGTTGCATTATGTAATTCTATATAAAAATTGGAGACTTAATTTTAATTTAAATCTTAATTCTTTGAATCCTTTGAATTTTACTTTTTAGCAAAAATAAAAAATAAAAATTTAATAAAGTATTCAGATAGAAGATGTTAACTTTTCATATAAAATAATGATTAAAAGATATTAAAAGAATAGTTGCATATCCTCTATTGTGTTTCGTTATTAATATTGTATATTTAGAATTTTATCTTTTAGGTTTATATATTTATTTCACTTATGTATTATATCTAATTTATAAAAATAATAACGAAATGAAACATGTAGTCATTTTCTGGATTGTCATCCTCATTTTTTATTTCAGAGAAGTAAATCCTAGATATTAATAGTGGTTGTGGTGTGTGTGATATGGCAAAGCCTCGAGGGCTATGCGCCTGAAGGGAGGGATGCCTTCGTGGAGGACTTTCTAAGGGAAACTGGCTCGTATACTCGTTACACATGGGGAAAACCACGAAAACGCCCATGCAGCCAGCGCGTTCGCGGGATTCGAACCTCGGAACGACTACCAGTTTTTAGCGACTTTACCGCTCGGGGCCGCTGGTGGGCAGATATTAATAGGACTGAATGCTGTATGTGTTTGTTTTGGTATCAAAAAAGAAATATGTTTACATAATAACTTAAATATTACATTTCATTTAGCATATTCAGTTTAACCATTCTATGAATTAAAAAAAAAATATCAGTTTAGTTGTGGAGTTATCAGTTTAGTTGTGGAAAATATTATTCATACACAGATAAATGCACTCATAAAAACATTATGCAGTTTATCTTAACGTCATTTGACTGTCATCGTACTTTCTGTGAAAACATGGAAAAAGGGTGGATGTTTATTTAATATGATGACCTGTGTACAATATCCCACAGACATAATGATTACATTCGTAGATACTAGCAAAATATAATTCTGCAGGTAAATTTATATAATTAAATGCAAAAGTCAAAATTGGTACTAAATTTTAAAAACACTACATTCACAAAATCTTAGTAAATATGGATCTTAATTTTATAAATGAAATTTTGTATGAAATATATCATGGTGCACTGCATAGTAATGGAATGCAAATTTTAAAACTATAATAAATAAAATATTTGATTAAGTTATACTATTCATTCATAATACAATCACAACAAATTATAAGTACAGATAGAAAATGAAATTTTATATTTACAGAATTTTAGCATATTTGTTTTTTAACGTTTCTATATTCTTAAATCATACATTTCCTAAATTTTGATTGCATTTAAATGCATGCTGTGTATTACTCTGCTTTTCAAATAATATGAAAGAAAAAAAGCCTTAATAATTAGAAAATTAATATTGCTGAATGAACTGCTTTACTATCTTTGCAAATTACTGTAACTAAATTATCCAGAACTGATAGCCTTAAGTATAATAATACAACTTAATTTGCTCGCCAAATGTATTGTGGACTTCTAATATGTTTGCTTTCTGTACTCTGCGGTGTTGTTAGTCCTTCTTATTGCTTACATGTACCCGTGTATTAATGATATTGTATTTCTGGCATGTACCATATTAACAAGTACAATAGGCTCAAATTCTAAGTAACTGACAAAGCCCATTCAGCTGAACACTGGTGGTTTGACTTCAATTCCTGGAGAAAAGGCTGGTTGTATGGCCATTTTTCCATGTGTAACACGAGTTAAGTTAATGCAGTGAACTACATACATAATTTAAAACTATTTAAGCGTATTTATATGCATCTGTCACAATTCACAACAATATTTCAAAACCGTTGGCATTTAAATATACCTAATAAAATGATAAGAAGTTTCTATATATATTAATGAATAAATTAATTTAAGTAACCCGAAAATTCAAAATACTTGCATCAAATCAAAAAACACTAAGTTTCTATACCTATGAAATAATACATTTTGCTGATTATTTTTTATTTTGCCTGCATTATTGATGCATAATGCAATCGCGCAGTGCGTACCAACCATTATACTACATAAATTTAATTATATTTGAGAGAAAAAAAAACGAATGAGTTTCTACAGTCGCGCACAAGCTTACATTCAGCTTAAATCAATGCAAAAATCTATGTTGATCTGAGGTGAGAAAACTTCAGTGACGTCACAGCCAATAGACAGCGAGAACGCATTTTCGTTTGTTTACCCCAAGTGAGCTAACCTATTCTTTCTACGGATCTTGATTCGCACCAACATTAACCACGCATGCGCAATGAATCGAATACGCATATAATTTATTTATGTGTCGGATCTGTCGTTTGAGCCCATGGAGGTAGACAAGCGCCTGGCCCAAGGCCATCTTGAGGAGAAGTTCCAATCCAAAGGGTTTCTCCCCTGCCTTTGCTGTGACGTCACGAACGAGGGCAATCGTATTAAGGCCAAAGAAAGTCTATGTACATATTCTTTGGTAAGGCCATCTCCAAAACAGCATGAGTGTAAGGCTCCTCTAAACCTTATATGGTATATAGGAGCCTTATATGAGTGTAAGCAGAGCGTACGTACCTAGAAGGTATGTAGCATTAACTATTCCTTAACTGTAGTAAATTTAACTTTTAGCAAGATGTATCGAAAGTTAAGCATATTTACTAGCTCACTTTAATGTTTTCTTTTAATTAATTCTGTTTGACCTGTACTTTTAAAGTTAGGTAATGATTCAAAATAAACACTTTTATGATAAATGAAAGCTAAAGAGATCCCCCCCCCATTTTTATTCATGGTCTAATACATATTTATTACATACGCCATAACACTCATGTTAAATTCTAAATTAGACAAGAATAACAAGATTAAAAAAAATTCTTGAAAGTTAAAAAATATTGAGCTCGAGTTTGTACATATATTTTGTACAGTCACTAAGCTTTAATAGGAGTGTATTAATAATTATAGTCTACAGTATATTTATTATATAGCATTAAACAATTCACTGTAATTCCTTTCCCTTTAGTTATTATTTAATTAAAGTGCATCATACAGTGTTAATTGAATTTTTACAGATGCCGCGAAAATGTAGCGTTCCGGATGCAAGTCAAATTACTATGCAAACGAAGATCATATTACAACTTTTAAGTTCCCCAAAGATGATATGCTGTGTAAAACATGGATTAGTAAAATTAATAGGAAAGACTTTGTACCGGGATCATGTGCTTGTGTATGCATTTTGCATTTTGATGAACGTTTCATCATAAGAGACGATAGAGCAACACGACCTGATGGGACAGTATTAACAGTTCAAAGAAAAGTGCCAGTTTTATCGAAAGATGCATATCCTACTATTTTTTACGGTCAACCTAAATATTTATCTTGTCCTTTACCACAAAAGCGAAAGACACCAGAAGACAGGACAAGAGAAATAAACGAACGGCGTGAAAATAATTTAAAAAAACTGTGTGCTGCAGACAACATTGCCTCCTTTTCAGAATTTTTGAAACTTTACAGCAATAAATTACCAAATACATGGGCAATAATGAAAGCATGTGATTATATACTTTTTTTGCGTATTGAGATGGAAGATTGTCCATCAGTCACTGTGTCATTTAAAGTCGAGCATGATTTAACTGTTTCAGTTTTTCGTGAAGGTTTAAACATAACAAGTATGTTTGAATGGCTTTTGGGAAAAGATCTATTATGTAATAAATGGTCAAAATTTGAAAACCTTTCAAATCATCTGTACAGTTATGAGAAAACCTCAAAAACAGTCGAAGAAATGCTGGATTTGGTAACTGAAACTCTTCAGAAGTGTTCTAAAAATACATCAGAACAGATTATGATTACCGATTAAATTTTTTAGGGAACAGATATCATTACTGAAAGCTAAACGCCCAACCTACACAGCTGAAATGATGATATGGGCTTGCACATTATTTTATAGCAGCCCTACGTGTTATTCTCGAATACGAGAAAGCTCGTCCTTGATTTTACCACATCCTTCCTACTTAAAAAAGTTAGCATTAAATGTTGGGTCGACAACGGGGTTAAATGCAAAGTATTTATCTCATAAATCTTCACAACTACAAAATCATGAAAAGTTTGTGAATCTTTTACTCACTGAAACTACTGCTTGCCAAATGAAACATTTAATCTAAAATGTAATCAGTTTGGCGCCCCTTGGATTCTGCGCCCGGGGACAGATGCTGCCCTGCCCCCCTCTAGCTACGCCCTTGCTTTTACTTGATGAGATTTATATTAAACCTACTGTTTCATATAAAAATGGTAAAATTGAAGGCTTGTCATGTACAGATATGTCTCGAGAAGCTTCTAGAATTCAAACCTTTATGATTTCTTCAATCTTATCTTCAAATAAGGAAGTTATTGCAATGTTTCCTGTCCATAATCTCAAGCCATAATCCATAATCTCAAGATTTAAAAATTCAAACTTTACAGGTGTTAAAATTTGTTCATGATTGTGGCTTCGAGGTTGTTTCCATAATTTCCGACAACAACTATGTTAACCGAAAATGTTTGAAATGCTATGCAATGGTCATATGGTGTCTGCTATTGAAAATGAATTTCGTTTGGGAAAAAAAGATTTTTTTATTATTTGATTCAGTTCATTTACTGAAATGTATAAGGAATAATTGGTTAAACCAAGCTGAAACCAATCAAACCTTTAATATTCCATCTTTTGATGATACAGATAATAAGTTGTACTGTGCAAGTCTATTGCATCTGAAAAAATTATATAACATAGAGCAACAGCATTCTATAAAAATAGCTCCAGCTCTTTCGAAAAAAGTTCTATATCCAACTTCTTTAGAACGGCAGAATGTTTCTACTGCCGTTAAACTTTTTGATGAAAAGACTGTTGCAGCATTACATGTCGAATTAAAAGAAAACAAAACAGGATATGGAGAAACTGTTAGAGGAACAAAATATTTCATAGAAATAATTTTGAAATGGTGGAGTATTGTCAATGTTAAACATCCACGCAAAGGACTACATTTAGCAGATCCGAATCGTGAACCAGTATTTTCAATTAATGATGATAAAATTAAATTTCTCGAAAATTTTTGTACGTGGTTGATAAAATGGAATGGTGATGACAGGAAAAAGTCCGGAAAAACTGTTGGTCGACTCACCAGAGAAACATATCATGCACTGAAACATACAACCACAACTTTTATCCAGCTTTCGGATTATTTATTAAAGAATTTAAAATTCCAGTATGTGCTGTATGGAAAATTTCAAACAGACAATTTGGAGGCAAGATTTGGACAATATCGCCAAATGAGTGGTGCAAATTACCATATTTCACTGACTCAGGCTTTAGAATCTGAAAAGAAACTCCAGTTAATTAGCTGGATGAAATTGAATTCTTCAAAAAACGGGGAGTTCACAATAAAGACATTACAAACGGATAATGATGATTTAGACAACAGTACTGAATGTAGCACTGAAAAGTTTAATGAAATTATTTCCTTTTCACAAACATTTAAAATAACGGAAAAAGATATGAGAGTATTAATTTATATAGGTGGATATGTGGCTCGAAAAGTCTCTAATAAAACAAATTGTTCAAAATGCAAAAATATTCTACATTCTGATAAGGTTTTAGAATGTGAAAATAATTTTTTTCATAACCTATTACCAAAAAATATTAATTATGTTAGGCAAATTATTATTCCTTTATATTAACTTCAGTTAAATGTAATATCTGAAATTTATGAAACAAATGTTTTGTTATGAAAATGAGTATTTCTTAATTGCTGCAAATTTTTACATTGAATATCTTTCTATATGTGTCTATAAATAACAAATGCAAAAAGAATCAATATGTTTTTAATATTTATTGAGCACGTGTAAATAAGCTTTAAATTTTTGTATTTAGTGAAAATTATTCAAGGATAAATAACTGGTGTGTGTTTTTATTTTGATATTCAGTATGAAGTAATAAGTATATTAGATTTTAATTTGTTTAATAATATACGTATATTTACTATTCCGGAAAACATTATATATATATGCGTGTGTGTGCATATTTCTGCATGCATTTGTGAATGTGAAAATTTGAAGAAAGGAGAATAATGTGTATTGTATATTATGAAGTTACATCTAAAAGAATGGCCTCAGATTTTGTATTCATTTTATATGAATGAAAATCTATGTGTAAATTAAATAATGAAGAAGCGGAATGCATTTATTTTGCTATGTTTCCAGATTAATTAAAAAGTAACATGTTGTCATCTTAAAATTATATGATATAAACAATTATTTGTAAATAATGAGAAAACGTATCTGAGAAGCATAACTTTCTGTTGAATGTCAATCCTTTGAGTAAATCTGAAACATAAATTTTTGAAGCTTTCGAATTTCTGGGTAATTTTTTTATATGAGATAGCAAAAACATAGTTTTTTGTATTGCTTGGAAATAAGTGAAAATATTTAGTGATGATTTAATTTTGAATGCAATTCACACTGCGGTTAAAAATTTGGTATAATTTTCCATTTTAACCGGTGTAGAACTATTTGATTTTGCGATGACTATTAACACTGTAAGACTTTTACAACAAAGTCAGGTCAGTGGTTATCTCAGGCGGCGCTCAGTATTTAATGCTATTAAACTGCACATATTGTTATGTAACAAAAGTATAGTATTGTAAAAAATGTTACTATTAGCAAGCAAAAATTAATATTATTTGAGAAACTACCCTTAGATGCACCCCTGTCGTCTAAGTGTAAAAGATTAGTACTCAGTTCTTCAGTAATTTTTGTTACTAATGCTTATATGAAGAGAAAAATATGTATATATTTTTTATGTACTATCGGGAAAAAGAAAGCACGCTGATCATCATCTTGGCTGACCGCCCCTGGCTATGGCGTCATCAAACGTTAGCTCCGACCTTCTCCTCAAGATGGCCTTGCCTGGCCCGTCACCACCGGAAAAACCGGTGGTGACGCCTGGCCCCAGCCACACTCCTGTTCTTATTGGTTGCCGTTTATGACGTTAGGCTGAAAAGATCACAGCCAACTCTATACAGTCGGCTGTCCATTATCTGTTTCGTTTGAGATTATGTCGAGGAGAACTTGTATTATTTTGATCTTGGTTATGTCCTGTGTTAATGTGAATTTGTGCAATATAACAGAATATTTTCAATTAAAACAAACATAACAGTATAAGAAAGTATGTCGACACTTTTAAATCATGGTAATTGGGAATCGATAAAACATTATGATGCGTAAATACCGTTTGCTAAGTATCTGTATTCAGTGCAATTCGTAGCGCTGTACTGATATTTAGGAAATATATTGTATAATTTCATATAGCACGATACATTAACAAGATTTGCTTCTTCAGCAATGTCAACAAATCGCACTTAATTCTTACTGTGTAAATAATCTTATCTGCCGCAGTTTTCATGAACTAGAGGTTTATTTTACAGAAAAGTGGTTTTAAAAGTGATATACATGTAAAAGCTAGTTATTTCTTCATAAAAATGAACTGTTTGTTAACTAAATAACCTTCCTTTCATTTATTAATTGTTTGTTACATAGAGATTGTTTGGAATCAAAACTGTTCGTAGTCAGATTAATTTTTAGTCCAAAGGGAAGTCACTGAAGTACTATTGTTTTCGTTTTGCGATTTTGCGTTGAATCATTATAAATATCCGTTTTACTTTTCAAACTGTTGTTACCAAATGTTAGAGGTCTTGCATTATATTTGAAGAAATTAGGTAATTAAAATCTGCATAAATGTATGTATGTTTCTCCCATTGTGATAAAACAACGGTACATAGAGCCATCGAATTTTGAATGATGTAATCCTCCTGCGAATATGGGCATGTGGAAGCCCAAATTTGAAATTTGGAATTTGTTTTATTATCGATTTCATATTTTGTAAAACTTTAACGAATTTTTGAGTAACAAACTCAATTATTTGAAAGTGAGCAATGGCAACACTCTACGGAAGAAAGAAAAAACCTTTTTATTTCCAGCGCTCAGAACTGTGTATCGGAAATTCCAAAGATAGGCTCATATTAAAATTATTTTGCGACATTGCTATTAAACTGAAATTTATGTGGAAGAACAATGTTACCTTTGTTGTGTTAAATAAAGATAACACACAAAACGTTAAAAAAACGCCTTTTTGGACGCAATTTAAAATCTGAAACCTTTCAGATTTATTTATTTATTTTATTTTATTTTATTTATTTTTTAAGCACACTAATGATGGAAAAAGATAACACTATTAAAGCGTTACAAAGGAGATAATTAGAATTCTATTAATAGTACGAGGATATGGAAGGAAATCTTAATTGGAAAAATGTATCTTTAAAAATAGAGAGGGAATAGTTCAAGACTTTTTCATCGCAATGCCCTGCCGATATAATTCTAATTATCAACCTGAAAGTTTCCCTAAACACGATAATAACAATGTGACAATATAAAATTCCTCATTACAAGCGACAGTAAGGGTCCTCTACGTTTGATTGCATTCTGCAAAAAGTCTACAGGAGCTCTGCAGCTTAGTATATGCAGCTTATTAGCTTGGTATGTGCACGATCAGCGTGATCACTTTCAGTTCTTCCTGGAACGAAAAATTAACCCGCTGTCATACATTCTTTGTGCTTCCTGGAGAATAAGCCTTTGACATGTGGGTGGAGGCTTTACTTTTCTTTAAAATTTTAACCTCTATCCAAGATTTAGTGCGAGAAAAAGATAGGCCTGCATTCAAATGTTAGAATCAATTTTTAAGGTTATTTAATATTAAAATAAAATTGGTTTGCTGAAACTTTCATAAAAGAAGTGCCGGAGACCTTTTATTTAGGGTTCCGGCTAAAATTGTAATTTATCTCAAAGCCTGAGATGTAACGAAGCCGCGTTACGGAGCAGTTCAAGCTCTGGGCTCCATAAAAGAGAGACCACCGCTTCTGGCCTTAGTAGTGTACTTATATCCACAGTAGGGCCAATGCCTATAAACAGCTAGAGCCATTAATATTATTTGCCATTAATGCATTGGAACAACAACAAAAAAAAAAAAAAAAAAAAAAAAAAAAAGGCCTGTGAAGTGGACAGCACAAAGTCAAAAAACGTATTAAAATTACTACTAATCTTAATAAATTACTTTTTTGTTGCGAGTGAATAAGAACAACATGATTTCAAATTATGATATTTTTTGATACGAATAACACCGAAAAGTTGCTACACCCTTAAAATACTGTTATGCTCACTCTAGGTTGGACGTCTTAGATGCAGAATTGCTTGAGTGCATGTTTTTTTAATGTAACATTAATACAGGCTAATTTAATTAAGTTCTTTCACACTAGAACAGCAGATATTTGTTTAGATGTAAAAGTATGACAGCAGTCAATTTCGTCACTGACTAAAAACTTTCCGCTTATGTTGGAAAAATTATGAAAGCTTTTTAATATGATGTATTAAGGAGAAATATTAAGCTGCATTACAAATTATTTTCATAAATTTAAAATTATTCAAAATATTCTAACTCATTTATAAATCTACTGGGCCGATTCACGAAATTCAAATTGCGTTCTTCATGTCTCGAAAGCGCGACTTAGGATATATATTAGATTTATATATAGAACTATTCTAACATAGGTATTTTGACACAAAATCAGACTTTTTCTGAAATAACATACCAATTTTTTTACATATTTCGATTGTACGACTCAAATTATGCCTAAATATTAAATTTTGTAAAATTTGGTGCGAAATTTACGGGGAAATTCAACAATTTATGTTGGCGCTTTTTAGTCAGTTTGCGCCAAAATTAGTTCACTTGGCGAACTTCTTAATATGCGGCAACCTATTTTCATTTCCATTTTTACATAGTGCGTGAGAGGAAAAAAAGACCCAATCGTTCTGTCTTTCAAATAATGTTCTTTATCTTATATTTTTAATTATAATTGTTGTTAATTTTAAGCAATTTTTTTCTTTTTCGAATTTATTTTAATTGTTTACGTTGCATAGTTTCTTTCGAATAACTGTTTTAAAAATTTCTATTTAGTCATTCGAAGTGCGTAGTTTAAATCAAAGGCGCATCGTTTATTTATTTATTTTTTCAAATAATTTTCTTTATACTATATTTTTAGTCATAGTTACTATTTTAGGTAATTTTTAAATATTTAGACTTTTTTTTAATTGTGAGTCTTGCATTGTCTCTTCAGATAATTATTTTAAAATTTTCTATTTATTCATTCGAACTGAGCATTTTAAATATATTTATTAATATAAATTTTCCAGAATATGATTTTTTATTTGAATTGCGTTTCTTTCGGAAGAATACTTTGTAACTCAGACTACGATGCATTTGAAAACTGCATATATTAAAAGAGAAAATACAGTAAAGCACACTTAACACGCCTTTCAATGTTCTGTTCAGAAAAGATATACAAATAAGAGAGATGTATAACCGACATTTTAACTTAGGATGACTTGCATGCACTGCTTTAAACAGTTCATTGTGCTCATTGCTTTACACAACTTTATCCTACATTTGGTTTCTTAAAATGTTATTCATATTTTAGTCAAATATTTTATTTTTGAAATCGCAAGAATCAAATATCATACGATTAAAAAAAAAGTACAAATACTAAATTTTACACAAAAATTAATTTTTTCTTCTCTTTTTCTTCAAGCATTCCGCTTCATTCTTGCTCTTTTCTTGAGGCATTCTGCAAGTATATTAAAGAGCATCCAACTTTTCGAAACATCTTGGTACTGACAATCATTTTAAATAAAGTTATCGCCTTCCATTTTATAAAGGCCCCAAAACGGCCGAGCAGTAAAGTCACTGAACACTGGTAGTTCTCCGAGGTTCGAATCCCGGTAAACGGGCTGGTTGCATGGGCGTTTTCGTGGATTTTCTCATGTGTAACGTGTATGTCAGCTGGTTTCCCTTAGAAATTTCTTCACGAAGGCATTCTTCCTTTTAGGCAGATAGCCCTGCTTTACCGTAACTTAATAATCCAATTCAATCCATTTCATCAGAGATTTTATCGGTCTTTAGAGGCTAAGCATTTTGAAGGTATGGAGATGAAAGGAAAGGCTGGTTTCATCAAAAGGTTTTGGTTTATTTTTAATTATGACAAAGCACACTAGGGCTATCTGCCTAAGGGGAGGGATGCCATCGTGGAGGACTTTCTAAGGGAAACTGGCTCGTATACACGTTACACATGGGGAAAACCACGAAAACGCCCATGCAGCCAGCTCGTTGGCGGGATTCGAACCTCGGACCGAACTACCAGTGTTCAGCGACTTTACCGCTCTGCCGCTGGTGGGCGCAAAACATTTGGAAAACGTTTTCTGACTGAATAACGTAAGATTAAAAGTCATCTGCTTAATTCACAGCCATTTACAAGTCAACTACTCGGGCAATTGCTGAATCGCTGAATCTGATTCTGAGTTTGTAAGACAAACCTAATATCACTGGATTTAAACACTTCTTTAATATTCCGAGAACATTCCTTCTTTAGCTCATATTCCAAGAATATGAAGTGAATACAATTATTTCAAAAAGAAATTTAATATTAATTTGCAGTACGGCTTGGTAGTTTATTAACGAGTTAACAAAACTTAAGTTCTGCTTTTTGTGTCTAAGAATACAACAATATCTTAAATATTTACAAATAAAATATTAAATTGGAAATTTAATTGAAGCCTCACCAGTTGCCTAGCATTTGAAGAATATTAAATATCAATTGTTTGTTGCGAAGTCTAACCCAGAAACCCAGACTTCGCAACAAACAATTGGTATTCTAACCCAGACTTTGCATAGTTGGTTTTCTTAGTTTTTTAGGTTCTTTTTACAAAGGTTCTCTATGAAAGCATCTTAACCAAATAGCTCTCAAGTTCTTTCTATTGTCAAATAACCAACTAACCTAGTTTAAGCGCGATTTCCAAGTGAAGTTAGTAGCAAAACCCGAATACTCATTAAAAATCATGTAGCTTGCCAATCGGGAGTAACATGAAAGATATGGCGCCAATAATTGAATTGCTGTTCGGTACGCTGTTTCTAAACTTAGATGGTCATTCCTTAATTAAATATAATTGATTTGTAACTTCTAATAAATTGAAGTGCAAATAAATAATATCGTATGCAATCTTGATTAATATAAAATTAGAAATATTTGCATTCAGACAAAAAGTTTTTTGAAATATTTGCAATTACTTTATGAGAAGGATTTATTAATAACCGTAATAATTACTTATTATATTACTGATGATTAGAATTCAATTCTTGACAATTACATTCTAAATTAGAATTCAATTCTTGACAATTACATTCTAAATTAGAATTTTAAGGATATAATGAAAATACGCTACGCATAAAAATACATTTTAGATAAAAAAGTGAATTGATTTTTTATGTTTAAAAACTTCTTAAATTCATTTAATAAACATCGTACCCCCGTTGTTAATTGAATCCAGAATTTGGGTGACGTTTATATATAATTATTCTTACTTGTCCACAGAACCTGCTGCCATTAAGAAGCTGCAGATCATTTCTACATAACCATGAACCTACATTAATTCGGTCTCTAGAGGGTTATATGTTTATATCATAATTTGACTTTATAAATGAATAATAAATTTATAATGAATTTATAAAAATGAGTATTCTAAATCTTATGTTTCTATAAAAATATACTGTGCTTTAAAAATATGGATGATAGTATCAGCCGCTCTTTCAGCTTGTTTAGAAATAAATTATGCAGTTAATGTCATAAAAAATTTTCGTAAAATTCAAATAAACATCAAACAAAAGTTCTCAGTTTTAGACAATTGGATTTAAACGAAGTTAAAGTAAAGTAGCAGACGATAAAACGCCGAAGATAAAAATTTACTCTTACAAATATTTTTTTAAAAAAAGGAAGAAAGAGAGAAATTTAAAAAATAGTTAAGAATAATATCATCTATAATTTAAACAATAGCTTTTTATATAGTATTAATAAATATTAATTACGCATCATTGAGAGAAAAAATTTCATATAATTAATTCTCCGTAAAATTTTACTTGAAATTTAAGGTTAAAAAATAGCTGTGGCAATTCACTGTAACAAAAATCCATAAACCACATTTGGCGTTATTATCGCTAAAAAAAAAAAGATGCCAAATTTCAAAACGCGAAAATATGTAAATTCGTGTATATTTTAGAAAATTTTGAATAAAAAAGTCTAATTTTTTGCAGGTATGCTTAGAAATAAATACACCTACTTTAAGATGATGGTAAAAATTTTATAGGTTATAATTCAAAATTGTTTTCGAAAAATTTATATAAATTATTTAAAAATAGAAATTTAAAAAATAAAACACAAAAAATGGGTAAATTTTATTCGGAATGAACCTAAATTTCGAAATGTGAAAGGAAAAATAATAAAAGTTTAATAAAAAAAGAGATATTAATAAATATTTGCCAAAATCAATTAACATTGAGGAATCAATTAACATTGAGGATCAATTAACATTTAAATAGAGTTCTTTCAACAATGAATTCTATTGATCCTGCTATTCAGTTCACTTTTGAACTTGAGACTTGCAATTCTCTTCCGTTTCTCGACATTCTGGTCACACGTAACACATCCAACTTCAGTACTACAGTTTACCGTAAACCTTCATCGGTTTGCCTTCCACCACACTTTAAATCATGTCATCCGACTAAACAAAAGTTAGCTTCATTTTATTCCTACGTTTTCCGTGCTCTTCAAGTTTGCTCCTCCAAACTAGCCCTTGATGAAGAACTAAATTATTTAAAAGCAATAGCTATTGACAGGGGCTTTTCACCCAACATTATTAATCAAGCAGTTAAAAAATTCTCATCTCAACACACTAAAAGCCACACTCTTATTTTAGAAGATTATAAAAATTCTGTTGTCATTCCCTTCTTTCCATCAATTAGCTATAAAGTTGCACATATTTTGCAGAAATTTAACTTTCGGGTTGTTTACTCTCCCATCAATAAAATTCCAACTTCTATACTCAAGGACCCCATTCCGGATATGAATTCCTGGGGTATTTATAGGATTCCTTGCCAGTGCGGTTTAATTTACATTGGCCAAACTAAGAGAGCCTTAAAATTTCGCGTCAAAGAACATGAGGCATATGTTAGAAAAAAGGAAACACAGAAGTCTTCTGTTGCTCAACATTGTTGGTCCGAAAAAATCACACTTTCAATTTTTATGCTGCCAAAATTATTCAAAAAACATCTTCCATTGGAGAACTGGATTTTCTGGAGGCATTTCACATTCATAAAAATCTTTCTGTTCTAGTTAACGATCCTAATTCCAATCCAAATTTGCCTTCGGCTTTTAGAGAAATTATGTTTTAGTTCTGGTTTCGCCAACAGATGGCGCCACTTGCTTATTCTTGTCCAGGCTTTCTTATCTTATCTAAACATTATTTCCTATCTTGTTCATTTGCGGTTTTGCAGCTGCTGTAAGTGAAAGCAACATAACCAAGTACCACCAAAATTTATTAATTTATATATTAAAAAGGCAGGCCTTAACTTTACTTTATAATTTTTTGGCTCTTTTGGATATGATAACATTACCTTAAACCTTAACTGGAGGGTAATGAAGGATATAAAAGAGTAGAGAAATTATTTTAAATTTTTATTGTAAATATTTTGTAAATATGTATATTTAATCAATACTGGATTCTTTCCTTTTACTAATAAAGGGCCAACTCTTTTCAAAAGTCTCAATTATAGCCCGAATTGAGTGAAGATTTTAATCTTCTTCTTCTAATTTTCCATACTTTAGCCAGTATTTAGTTAAGTTTTGATATACCAATTAAATCAAGTTCATTAAACTTTTAATATTTACTTTCATCAAATTTAAGTTTTATTTAACTTCCTAAAGGAATTTTTGAGAAATTTCTGAGAATTTTTAGAGGTTTTTTAAGGACTTCATTTCAAAAAAATTTTGGGAAATTTTACTTTAAAACTTTAATATTAAAACATTTCAGTTTTTCTTAATTACCTTAATTTTTTGCAATTTTCACACAAAATATCTTTCACTTAATTTTTTTAACAATTTTCACAATTTTTCAACAGAACACACATTTCAAATTACATACAATTTACATTTTTTTCACATACCACTTCACTTTAATTTTTTTCACAACCACATCACTTTAATTTCCTTAAAGCAAACATACATCTCTTGATTGGCTCAGTTACTTAACTCCCTAAATAATTAATATTACTACCTTTAGGATTTTTAATTTAATTAATATTAATATTAACAAAAATTTTTTTACTATAACAAAGATAACAGCTTGACACTCAACTTTACCTACATAAGCGCCATCTATATAATTTGAAGAACACACTTACTTCTCTTTCACAACACTTTTGCAGACCCCAACACTCATATAGTAGGTAAGTTAGAATTAAAACTTACTATTTACTTGCTTTAAGTATTTTTTTAAAAAAATTTTTATGTAGTATCTAAGTATTTTCTAAATATGAAATTATATTTTAAATATATATTTATTTTAAAAAATTGTGAATTAGTTCTTTTTGTTACTTTTTGTTTCTTATTGGTTTTATATGGATTTATGTATAGTTCTTTTATAGTTTCTTTTTATTGATATGCATATTCGTGTAGGGTAAGTTTCTGTAGACAAGGATTTCTAAAATACATTGGTTTCTAAATTTTTTTTATTTTTTATCAAAATTAATTTTTAAAAAAATTTAATTTTTTAAGAAAAAGTTTAATTCTTGACTTTACTTGCTTGTTTCTCAAAAAACTTAATTAGTATATTCCTTTTTGAACTTTAATTCTTAAATGTTAATTTCTAAGGGTACCACTTTATTGGAATTACTTTTGGTTTTGATTTTTACCCTTGTCTGCATGAATGACGAAACACGAATTGAATGATTGGAGAATTAGGTTTGGAGGCAACTTCCCCTTGATAAGTCTGTCTCCTGCCTACTCTACGATCATTCACATATGCATTTAAAAAAAAAAAAAAAAATGTTTAATTTAATTTTAATTTATTAAATTAGTAGATTTATTTTTTATGGATAGATTTTACACTTGATTTGCTTATGCTTCTGAATTTAAATGATATTGTAGATTAGTTTCGAGAATTAAATCTTTACATGTTTGCATATTTTTAAATTATTTTAAATTATTTTGGCTTTTTTTTCCTTTTTTTAGAATTTAAATTTGCTTTTCTACTTTTTTACTTTTTATACGTATTTGTTTAAAATTTAAATTTTTTTAAATTTAAATTTCATTCCTTGCAGAAATGGCGCAAAAGATATTTAATTAAATATGTATTTAAATTTAATTTTTTTAATTAAACTCAATTTATTCTTTTGATTCAATATATTAATAATATAATTATTAATATATTGAATCAAAAGAATAAATTGAGTTATTAATGATTATTAATTGAGTTATTAATGAATTAATAATATAATTATTAATATACTGAATGTTTATCAAACAAATTTTGTTGCATAAAGTGAATGTATTCATTTCTTGCTAACAATTTCAGATATAGCGATATCTTACACTGAACTTTATCAATTAATTTATAATTTACTGAGATAATATATTTTGCAAAAATAAGTATGCTTAACTAATAAACTGATCACTAAAATTTAGGAGCATTGCAATAATTTCTTTATAGTGATAAATGAAAGTCATGTTGCAACAAACATGATCCCCCAAACTACAAATCTATTTGAAAGCATAAGATTGTTTTCATAAAGTAAGTACTCAACAAACATTTTCTTTCTTTATTGCTTACTTAAATTAAATTTTAATAAATTGTAAAATAAGGTGTGTCTGTTGAATACTTTACTTTGAATAAATATATTTGTTCTTTTAAGACATTATGATGAAATGCTATGTATTATATCAAACTCAAATTACACGTGAGCCGAATGCTCAATCTGGAAGTAGCTGACGGGCCATACATTTTTTTTAATAGAACAAGAGTGAATTTATATCTATAATGTACATACAGTGTGTATGTATATACACTGCACTGCGTATGCTCCAAATGCATAAATATTATTTCTTATAACGCATGATGCGTGTATGTAGCATTTAAGTTTATAGTATGACTAGAAATTATATTTTTTAAATTTAATACAGTACAAAGTCCGAAATCCGGACTTGTCGGGACTTCGGCAATTCCGGATTTGGGATTTTTCCATATATTAGATAATCAGTTTAAATCTAGTAAGATGGCATGTAGAAATCATAAGATTAAAAGTATGAAATTGTGATTTATGAAATAATGAAGTATTTAAGATATAAAGGATATCAAAATTTACCAAAAAAAAAAAAAAAAAGCTTCATATCTATTTGTTTACTTTATTAAACATTTCTTTTAATGTATGTTGCTTCATTTTTTGTGCCAATACTGCCTCTTTAATTCTGTAGACAGACATAATCTCTTGTTTAGTTACAATGTTGTTGAAGTTCTGTAACTGCTGAGTCAAGAATTCCGACTAACATGCCAATCGAATTTTTTTCGTTTTCAATAACCTCTGTGTCACTTTCTTCACTATCGGTAGCGGCATTTTCTGGATCTATAACCGTACTACAGATTTTGCTATTCATTAATTGCTTTGATTGAGAAGCATTGTCATCACAATGAAAAACTTCTTATATATCATCTTCATTTATTACCGCTTCTCCCCATTTCTTTACAAAATCCGTTAATTGTAAAATTTCACGTTTGTTTTGCAATACCCGAAAACTTTTAAAATTCGCGGCTATCATCATCAAATTTAGCTATCCTTCACTATAGATATTTGGCTATGCCTTATGAGTTGGCGACTAACGACAAGTTGTTCCGTAAAATTTTATCTTCCTTCTATCGCGCACTGAGACAATTAAGCCTGAATTGTATTAGTTTAATTATTTATTATACTTATGTATATTTCTTGCACATGCTTAAGGCTTATCAGAGTTCTGAATAAATAAATTTCCACATATACTTAAGCCTTATTGAGGGCCGGTTCTAGATATCTCACCACCTGATGCAGTCTCTGTGGGTCTTAAATTCTGTGACCCGGTGCGGCCATACGAGCCCTGGCCCTGGGTTTATGTGAATAACAAATCAGTTATTGTTAATTCAAATAGCCCTAAATGTAATCTTTGGGTCTATGAGTATCATCAAGAAAATCTATTTTTAACATATGGAAAGAAATTTTTGTTAAATTTTCCCCCATCAACATTTTTTAGCACATTTAACTTAAATCCGTAATCATCACCAAGCGTAATGTCAGTATAAGAGGTTACCATACTCCTTTATTATTCAATTACTAACACAAAAAAATTGTTTAGGCATCGCCACGAGTCATTACTCAAGTTGTCATGTGTTGATAAACATGCAGTGATAAAAGGAAAGTATAATAAATAATGATTCGCCAGGTTGGCGTCAGATCAACGATGTATCTATGTGGAATGTTTCAGTTTGAGATGTGTGCCTAGCAGATAAACAGCAATGGAGCCAAATTACTGATCATACAAATTTATGCTAAAATGATTGTTTCTTCAATAACAAGGTATTTTATTTAGTGTTGAAGTGAAATTAACAATCGGGACTCTTTAGATGTTTTATTATGTGCGGAAGGGGGGGGGGAGAAATCAAATGCGCATGCGTAAAGCCTACGAGAGAAACATTGTTGGTGGTTATGAGGTCTGGATTTTAGATCATTCCGGATATTGGACGTCCGGATTTCGTACTTTGTACTGTATTGCCTCTAACATGATTTAATTGAAAATTTACAGTAGTATCAATTTGTATCTTCGACATTTTTCTTTTTCAAACATATAATAGTTTCCTTCTCCCTTTCCTTTCTCCATATAGATGGATCTATATGAATTTGAGATCTTTTCTTCGACTTATTAATTTTCAATTGAGAAAACAACCCAAACAATATGATTATTCTTTAGTGCAAAATTAATAACTGATGATATTTATCTTTTTAGAAGAAGAATAAAAGTAATCAAATTAGTATCTTCAAATCCTTGATTAGCATTTGTATTACAGTGGTAAACTGACTAGCTCCATTTATAGTTTTCTCGAGTGCATTATTCATGTTTGTTTTAATGTTAATGAAAAGTATATTAGATTGGGCTACAGATCATTAAAATCAATACATCTGTCTTCAAATTCTTCTGACAATAATGCTAGTTTTCTTATATATTTCTGAGATTTTCATTTGAAATATTAGGGCAGGATTTATGATGTAGGAAATGTTCAAAATATTTTGATACAAACTGTGTTTCCCATAACTGCAATTTAAAAGTTTTAATACAAGCATGCATACCAATGCTTTATTCTTTATTTACAGCTCTTTATTGAGATTATTTGAATGTCTGGTTAAATCAACAAAAGAAATGCTAAATCTTTTACCCATGTATTATTAAGAACATTATCACATCATCAATGATTTTATTTATTTGTATTATGAAATTTTAATTTCATTTATTAAATTAAAAAACTGTTTTAATTCAGATCCTCAAGATAACTACCTCACCTCGTTACATTAAGTAATTTTTCTATACTTGCTTCTAATTACTCTAAACAATTTACAGTCAAAAGTCTTTAATCCGGATTTGTCGGGACTTCGGCGATTCCGGATTATAGATCAGCAGTTTAAATCTGGTAAGATGGCATGCAGAAATTATAAAATTAAAAATATGAAACCGTAATTTATGAAATAAAGAGCAATTATGATCTAAAGGGTATCAAAATTTACAAAAAATAAAAAAGCTTAATATTTATTTTACTTTATTAAACATTTCTTTTAACGCACGCATGTGTACAGCATACATTACGCATAGTCGAAATTAGAAAATTGCAACCAGAAAGCTATTTGATGTGTATTCGTGATATTTATAATGACAAGGAAATTGATTAAAATTATATCGGAGTACATGGAGATGAAAGACTACATTTAGTGAGTAATTATAAGCCGAATAAATTAAAAACATCTGCCCTTAAGATGAGGATAGTGGTGACAGATCAACTTCCAGTTCATTGCGCGTCCCGACGTTCCCCCTCCCCCCTTCCGCAGAGCAGCATGAAATTGATAAACAGATTTCGGAATGGTTAGAGAAACAAATCACCTCTCTGTCACTTTCTTCATGCCTTTAATCCATTTTTTGCAGCAGTTCCACTTTTTGTTTAATGGACATCGAAACATGCTTTCGCTTTGCAGATCCTTTGGCAGCTCCAGCATCGGAAATTCTATTTGATATAATCGAAAGTTCAAGCTTACTTTTATAAAATTTCTCTAACAGCCTGCAAAAAATAATAAACCGGATCCAATTCGAAGATTAAGGAACAACGCAATTTGCGACATTAACTGAAATAGATAATTTTAGTTTAGTTTATACTGTCCGTTATACATTAAACTCGCATGTGTAAACGTATTATGTGCATGCGTAAAGGTATTACGCGCATGCGCAGAAAATTTGTAGATTTGAGGTCCGGATTAACGACTTTTGACTGCACATTTTACTTACAAACTCAGTGGTTCAGAGCTAGCCCATGGATACAGTTCACTGTTTTCATTACTGATTTCATGACCTTATTCATCTGCAAACTTTTGGTACAAAATTTATAATAAATACATTTTGTGGGTAGCGTACAGCCCACAGATTTGAGACCACCATTATGCATCGAATCTCACTCTCCCAGAATTCATTGAATGAGAATATTTTAGATGCCCTACATACAAAATGAATTTTGATAATAAATTTCAGTTTGTAAATAAATCTTAGTAAAGGACTTAGAAAGCAATATAAATAAATGCATTAAAATTATTGCTCAAACACATCACCATGACCTTTGACAATTTAGAATGGCTCACTTGAATATGTCTGGAGATCTATGGGAGTTACTTCATGCATGTTTTTTTAATAAAATATACAATATTTCTACACATTTTGACATGATCTAGGTAGCTATAAATTATAACTGGTTCTTTGGCAGTATCACTGAATGAAATATCCCTTGCTACACATGCAGGAAGGAAGTCTGCATCAACATGAACATGATGCTTTCAATAAATTCACATATGCATATATTCACATACACAGCCATTTAATCTGAACTAACTGAGATACAGCAATTTAGCCTGACCTTTCTTTTGTTAAATAAATAGTGCATTTTTGACCGTGTGGTTGTTGAATTCTGAACATTTAAAATAATAATTTCTTATTGCAGGACTTCTAAGCAGAAGACTTTTCTTCTACTACCATGAATGACAATAACTCCTGGAGTGAAAAATACAACTTAGTTTTTCAAACTTTACAGAAATTTTTCTTTCAATGCTTTATTCATATTCAGAGAAACCTTTTGGCACAAGGCAAATTTTCACTGACAAGACACACTGAAAATGATTGGCTTTGGAACTACCTACAATCTTAGTTTACTTAAATATTTAAGAGGGATTTTACTGCATTATAAATTTATTGTGCAAAAACTGTAAAAATCTGCTTCTTGAAATAATATCATTATTTAAACACAAGTACGAGTTTTTAAATTTTTTTCATGATTATGAGTTTGAGGATTAAAGCTTGAAAATGCACCTTAATGCAAAACTTAAACTTGATACACTTGATGCAAAACTGCACTAAAGGGAGGAGGGGGGGAATGAACATTTTAACAATTTTTTCCATAAATTTTAATTCTAACAAAGTTACGATAAATAATAATCTTGAAATTTTTATATTTAGCATTCTGGTATCTGAAATTTGTAATGTTGATGTTATTGTGTTGTCCATATTGCATGGGACAATGGTTCAAAGAGAGGTTGGACTTCTATTTTCCGACTCCCAAGTTTGAGGGAGGGCACCCTGGGGCTGATCCAGGGGCCTCCTACCCCTTTTCCCTTCCACCAATCAATCAGAGGACGGGTTTTCATCCACAAAGAACACCTGTTGCAGTTTTACTTGCCAAGTTCACCAATGGTTGACCGACAGCCAGAATGATCTGCCGTCGATCATTCTGGCGTACGGTTATGAGATATTAAAACACATGGAAGTAAGCCACGTAAATGTGGTATTTAGTGCTTATAATCATAATAAGTAACATATAAAGTCAAGTTAGCTGAGAAAACAATATATTAAGCATATGGAAGTGAAAATTCTAAATTAACTGGTTAAACATGATATACAGAAATAAATTTGTATTGAATTAAAGTTAGCACAGAAAACAAAATATAAAGGCCTAATGAAAGTAAAATAAACATGTAATAATGAGCTTTGTAATAATGACCCTTTTTCTTGGCAAAGTTAACTATTTAATGGAAAAAAAAATAGCAAAATCCAGATCTGCCTTTGAATATCTTTCAGTATTATAAAATTCCAAAATATTCCTGCTTTTAACAGTGCAGTTCCTAAAGAAATTGTGAAAGTTTAAAATTAAAAAGCCAATTTTATGATTAGTATCTTCATTGCATAATTTTAAAGTACTTCTATAATACTATGATTGAAAATCCATTATGATCACATAAATGAAATCAATAGATATTCTGATTTAAATGGAAACTTAATTGCAAGTATCTGATTACATTACAAGTTTTTTTAGTAGTAATGAGTTAATTCTGCTCCGACTATTTTTTTTTTAAAAGTTTAGTATATGTCATGTATTTAAAATTATATATATATATATATATATATATATTCACTTAATGTGGCATATTAACTTTTATTAAGACTTTCTTTCTTGCATGTTACAATGAACAACAGTTCATAATAAGAACTGTTGTTCATTGTTTTGCAACTGATGTGCAGCTCATCAGCAGGCAAACAGTAAAGTGATTGAAGTTTGGTAGTTTGGTTAGCCAAGCTAATGGGCAATTTGTATGATTGTTTTCAGGGTATTCCCAATATGTAACGTGGATTTAAACCAGTTTCCTTCAGAAAGACTTCCTTGAAGGCATCTTTCCTCTAAGGCAGATATCTCTGCCATGTTTTTCCATAATTAAACAATCAACCCAACTATTTATGCGCTAAAAATTTTATAAGCACTTAATAACATAAAAATTGCAAATATAGTCCAAGTTAGATTTTAAATGCATATATTTATATTAATTACACTAATTGCATATATTTATTATACGAATATTTTAAATGTCTATTTTATCATTAATTATTATCAATATATTAGACATTTTTTTAATTGTACAATCAATTTATCTTTGATTTAATTTCACTTTTAAATTATCACACCATAATTTTATCATTCTGAAATTTAGTCACAGTTTCATTCAATCAAATCTGACGGTGTAGTTCACAGATGCAACACAAAAATTGTTCAAATATCAGTCACTAAGGATGTATGGATTAGGTTTTTCATGCCATCTGTTTTGTTATTTCATACGGTTGAACTTTACATTATGGTAAATTGGCGATTTTTTGGCGAAAATTTGGCAACCAACTCTCCTACAGCAACCCTCTATTGTTTTTTTTCCCCCCCGCCCCATTTTGTCTTCACGAAGTAAAGACATGTTTCTTTCTTCTTATCTACTGAACACTTCTTCCAACAATCTACTAGCCGAATTACACTTATGCTAGAATTTTATCAATCAAAACTGCTTAATCATGACAAATATTCACTGCAAAATTGGAAAAAAGTGCACAATACCATACCCTTACGCTTTTTCAATAACCCATACACATAAACCATGTACACGCCAACTTATTTTCACTTAAAAAACATCCCAGAATTGCACAAAATGGCATTGCGCACAACTCTTCACTATATCTATGTACACTGCTTTTTTCTCATAAATTAAAAATTTCACGAAAATACCTGACAATTTTCAATCTTTAAACCCGGTAAAAGAACATATGTGAAATTACCTGATCGCGAAAAAGTATTTACCACCCTTTACAAATATGAACTTTCCACATATAAATAAATAAAATATCCAAAACTTTTACCTCTAAATCATCTATTACATTATACACGTCACCAACGAATTCATACCGCAAGTATTACAAATACTTAGTATCAAATATTTAAATTATTTCCATGCACGTTTATTTCAACTTAAACGTATACCAATTCCTACAAACATAAAATTCACAAAATAACTATCATTTAATTAAATATCACTAACCATGTACACGTCGACTTATTTTTATTTAAAAAAACATCCCAGAATTGCACAAAAATGGCACTGCGCACACTCTTCACTATATCCATGTACACTGCTTTTTTTCTCATAAATTAAAAATTTCACGAAAATACATGACAATTTTCTCAATCTTTAAACCCGGTAAAAAGAACATATATGAAATTCCTGATCGCGAAAAAAAGTATTTACCCTTTACAATATGAACATTTCCACATATAAAATAAATAAAATATCCAAAAACTTTATCTCTAAATCATCTATTACATTATACACGTCACCAACGAATTCATACCGCAAGCATTACAATACCTAGTGTCAAATATTTAAATTATTTCCATGCACGTTTACTTCAACTAAACGTATACCAAATTCCTACAAACATAAAATTCACAAATAACTATCCTTTCATTAAAATATAATTAAATTCAAAACACTACTTAAAATATAAATGAGCACATACATTAAACTAATAAAAAATTACCTACATCTAATTACTTTAAAACTAAATCATTGCTAAAACAATTTTCCCAATAATACGAAATTCCTTTTCCACCTACTTTAGAACAATGCAAAAAATAATATCGTCAAATAATTAAATACTAACTTACCTAATCTTCTCAGAATCTTGATTACGTGGCGATACACTTTCAATTCATTCAAAAAAATTATTAAAGATTTTTCTGCGACATTTTTTCTCCGCTAAATAAAGCAACTTCTCTTTATCCAATGCCTAAATACCCATTTCGAATTCACTTTAGTAGGGCCATGGGATCCAAAAATTAAACAACACTGTTTTCACACAACACAGAATAAAGCAAATAGAAATTTCCAGATTTTTTCCCGATTTCCGCCCTTTTCGATTAAAGAACCGTAATTCGTCCATTAATATCACGATATATCCCATGATCTTCTCATTTCCCTCACGCAAAATAATGCTAAATCAACTGAGTACTGCTCACATTATTACCAAAGTCCCAGGTAGTAACCTTTATCGCCTCCAAAATGTCGCCGAACTACCAGTTACCATATTGTAAAGATCAACCTTTCATACTTATGACTGCACAAGAAGACTTATGTGAAACAAATGTTGTGTCCCAAGCAGTGACATCAAGATGTTATTTGACATATAACTGAGACATAAGCACTAATTAGCACTGTAATTGTTAAAGAAAGTATCCTAGCTTTTGAAAAGCTTCTTTGCATGTAATGTGCACTTAATTACTTTACATTTTAATAATAAGAAGGGTTTGTGTGTTTATTTAATTCAATATGCAAAGCATGTGAGGGCTAGCAGAATAAGGCATGCTTTTGTGAATATTTTCTAGGGTAAATAGGCTCATATTTACATCACTTAGGAAAACCCCGAAAATGTCACAAAATACGTGTGAAAAAAAATAACCTGCACAGCCAGCTCGTTTATCAGGATTTGAGTAGAGATTGAACTACCAGTATTCAGCCGTCTTAACCGCTCGCAGAACAAATCTAAAGAAAATTCTTGTAATGTCATGTAATCAAATGTTAACTATGTGTTGTATCGCAAGATTGCTTTCTGAATACTTAATCTATTCTTTTTTTTATGTGTTTGGTCATGGCATTATTCATTACATGTACTTTCCGTAATTCATATAGAATACTAACATTTCTATTACGAGTGACTTTTTTTCCTTTTTAAGTGTTTTGCTTGTTGATATTCTCAAAATTGTATCTGATAATTGGAATAATAGATATAAATACAATAGATGCATATGATAGATCACGGGTGGCCAGTGAGAGCCACAACAGCATATTTACATCATTCTAAAATAGGTGAAATAGGTTCAGACAGCAGGTTCGATTCCAAACCATCATTCAGTGACAGTCTTAGTTCTATGAGCCATGTGCCTGTAATAAATTAATGATGCATGACTTTTAATACCTCCATTTACTACAGTTTGCTGATTTAGAATATGGTAACAGGTAGTTTGATGACATTTTGGAGGCGATAAAGGTTACTACCTAGGACTTTGGGAATAATGTAAGAAGTACTCAGTTCCGATTACGCATTATTTTGTGTGAGGAAAATGAGAGATCATGGGATCTGTCTGTGATATATTGGACTAATTATGGTCTTAATCGGAAAGGGGGGAATCGGGAAAAAACTGGAATTTTGTATTTGGCTTTATTCTGTGTTGTGTAAACGTGTTCGAAATTTTTGATCCCATGGCCCTAACTAAAGTGAATTCGAATGGGTATTTATGGGATTGAAAGTGGTAGTATAGTATTTCTTAAATTGTGCGAGATAGAAGTAAGATGTTTTATAATTATTATTTTACCTGTACCCTGCTGTACTATAGTATGATTTAATATCCTGAACAAATAAGAAATTTACGACACGTATCCGATTAGGTAGTTAGTATTTTATATTTGACGATATATTTTTATGCATTGTTCTAATGTCGGTGAATTAAAGTAATTTGTTTAGTGGGAAATGTTATACAATGATTTAGTTTAATTATTTGTTGTCGCTAATTTTTATTAATTATGTATGTGCTTTTTATATTTTTGTAGTGTTTTGATTTAATATTTTATTAATGATAGTTATTTTGTGATTTTATTTTGTAGGAATTTGTATTGGTTTATAATATCATATGCTTTCGAGGTCAACTTTTTGGATATTTTTTCCTTTCATTGGAAATGTTCAATTTGGAAAGGTATATACTTTTCGCGATCAGTAATTCATATATTCGTTTACCGGTTTTAAAGATCGAAAATTGTCATGTTTTCTTAAATTTTTCTAATTTATATGAAAAAAGCAGTGTACATGGATTGTGAAGATGTGCGCATGCCATTTTTGTGTATTTCTGGGATTTTTTTTAAGTAAAAAGTCGACGTGCCATGGTTTATTGTATGTGTTATTTTAAAAACGGTAGGAGTATGGTATTGTGCCTTTTTCCCAATTTTGCAGTTATATTTTTCATGATTAAGCTTTTGTTAGATAAAATTTCCCATAAGTGTAATTCGGCTAGTAATTGTTGGAAGAAGTGTTCAGTAGTAAAGAAAGAACATTCTTTACTTTGTGAAGACAATGGCGGCGGGAAAAAAAAATAGAGGGTTGTTGTAGAGTTGGTCACAAATTTCGCCAATTACCATAATGTAAAGATCAACCACATTTTTCATTACTTGAAACAGCTTAAGCATTTTATTTTGAAACAACGCCTGTCCTTTTTCATAATATATTTGACAATCAATAATCTTCCAAGATTACTGAAATTCTCTCAGAGGATTATTAATAAAAACTAGAAATTATACATTTTATTATTTTGAAGTCATTTGCATTTGGATTCATTATACAAGTAGTGGTTTGCTAATTTTGATGACTTTGGGGATCCATAAAACTATATTCATTTTAGAGAATCAATAATATTTTTTTATTTCTATTTAATCATCTAACTGTGTGTCACACCTGAAATCTTCACAAAAGTTATTGTTGGAAAAGCATTAACAATATATTATCTGGTTAAAGTTTTGAGCTAGAAATATTGTTTTTTTCATTTATTGTTAAAAGTCTATACAAAATAGCATGAAAATACGAAAAAATAATAACAAATAAGTGAAGAATAATTTAAATCGGCAAATGCGAACAACGATGGTGATAATTCAACAAAATGAACGTAAGAGGAATGGTTGCAACCTTCGAACAAGCGAATAGATTGAATCTGCTGGATTACCAGGTTTGAACTACTATTATCGCCAAAGTTTGGCAATGTTTACATTTATCAGGTTCTTTGCAGAAGTGCTTCTCAGAGGACTTTTGGCTCGCCGCATATTTGGAGTGCTGCCAGGCCGCAATGACGCTATACACATACAAAGCCTTATAAACGTTTTGCGAAATAATGAACTAATAATGGTTTGCGATTTTCAAACTTTAATTTTTAACTCCCAAAACCCCATAAACGTTTTGCGAAAATGTGAACTAATAATGATTTGCGGTTTTCAAACTTTATTTTCTCTTACCGTAATGTTCGAAAAAAAAAAAAAAAAAAAAAAAAAAAAACCAGAAAATTTCCCTTTTCCTCCTTCAGGAAGATTCCCTGTCAGGGTTGCCATATTCTAGCGCAAGTACGCTCTCTTCCAATGTAAACAAATCCGAAATTTCGTTAAGTACCGGTTACGGAAACATCCCCCATGTACAAACATCCATGTCTTCTTCAGAATTCGAACCTGGGCCCTTCGGTACCCTAGTCAACTCTCCTAACTACTATATCGTCTAGATGACATCCGAAATTTGTAACATACGATAAATATGCATACATTTTACAAGAAATTTTTAAAGCTGGTCAGTATGAAGAATTAAACTTTATAGTCCCATTTTTCATAATATAATAATTAAAAAAATTTCTTAAAGAATATCAACACATCCTTGAAAAACATGAGGATATGTAATACAGAAAAAATTTACAAATATATCAATTGTTTGGAAACTTCTTTTAAAATAAATTACATAAGTTTTAAACTAATTAATTTTGTCATCAATAAATAGTTATTTATTGCATCCTTATATTATACTTATTTACATAAGATTCCATTCTTCAGATGCCCAAGTAGGCATCTCTGTTCTAAATTCCCAGTCTCGGGCTTGATATTTAAGAGAATGCAGAAACATAATTAAATTTATTGGTTTTGGATCTCGATACGAACGACAGCAAAAATAACAATTTTTATCAAAGGATACTTTTGCATCGTCTTTCTTATATTTGCTTTCCACCAGTTCTTTATCTATCATAGCAAACTGCATTTGCTGCCTAAAATTCATTTCAGATTTCCCAGTTTCATAAGCTTCATCAATGTTTGCATAGGAACTTTCTAGCCACCATTCTGAAGTATGTTCTTCAGCTAAATCCTCCAAGAGTTCTTTAATAGTCTTATGAAATATGCCATGCTTGCCTTTAGCAGGCCCAAATGCATAGCTGTTGTATAAAGGATCATTCACAATAGGATACCCCAAATACTGCAAATGTACTCTTATTTGATGAGTTCGACCAGTAAGAGGCCTACAACATACAACACTGGATTTACCATTAAAACTAAGTTTTTTAAATTCTGTGACAGACACTTTACCTGATGGGTCCACTATAGAAATTCCAAGCTTATGATTAATTTTTTTAAGTGGTTTATTGCATATTAAAATACCATCAGGAAAATTTCCCTCTACACGGCATACATATTCCTTTTTGACGTCATGTAAATTTAATTGATCATGTAACTCTCGAGATTTCTTGCTGCTTTTCGCTAGAATTAAAACTCCTGAAGATAATCGATCTAAACGATGAGCCACATGAAGATTTTTCCTATTCTTCTCTTTAGCAAGAATAAACAAAATAGTATTATGCCTGTAAAGTCCACAGGGATGAACAGGAATTGAAGATGGCTTATTAACAATAAGAAAGTCTTCATTTTCATAAATAATGTTTACAGGTGAAGCCAAAACTCCAAGTTCATGTCTGTGACCACAAGCAGTGAGATGATCTCCGTCTCTTAAAATATAATCTAAGTCAACACTTTTACCATTAACTTTCAGTACACCTTCAGATATTCGTCTTTCAAATTCTTTTCTTGGATATATAGGAAACTCTTCAGAATACACATCAATTAATTTTCTATTTAGCCACCGTCCTTTGCAAAAAGTGGAGTATTGAAAATAATATGGATACACCTTACGAAGTCCATTTTCAAAATAATATTCAGTCTCTATTAGATAATCATCTCTGTAATATTTGGTAGCTGATGACTGTAAGTTTGTGGCAGTAAAAGTTTCATGTGCAAGTTCTGTTGACATACAACGCTTATTAAACACTAAGAATGAAGTTCTTCGATGATATTTTACAACGCGGCTTGTTTTCAAGTGATATCTAATGCCTGTAAAACACAGTTTTGAAATTATTTCCACCATAATGGAATTACTGAATGATGTATTACGGAAAAACACTACAGCTCTTTCCAGTTTTCAACTAAATTCTTAATCGATTATTGCAGTTCTGACAGGAAGACGAAAAGAAATAATCCAGTTATTGGATAGAGAAGGAATTTTCTTTAAATTAACGGTATTTTTATGGTTGGGTTCAAAAGTAAAGACAAATAGACAATCAAAGGAGACATGTGCCTCGTTTTGCAGTTACTAAGTCTTTCTGCGCTCAGGGTGAAAAATCAAACTTCTTCTTGAACCTTGGCCTCTCTTTGGCGCCTTATGCTCCAACTCAAATATAATGTTATTTACATGTTCAAACAAAGGAACGCATTCCCTCCAATTCAGGGGAGAACGTAGGTGATAAAACCAAACCCTTACACTAATATTACTTATGAGTCCTTTAGGATGTATTTGATAACAAATTTGTCTAGGAAATAATATCTCCAAGGTTTCTTATTACAATGATTTAAAAGATCAGCTAAGAGATCAATATTGCTAATTTTCATCTTCTTGAGCATGATGTTTCTGGTACTATCGTACTTTCTGCAGTGAATAATTGCATGTTCTGAACTGTCATATAACATGAGTCCACAAATGGCGATTCGCTCTATGATACCTTACACAGTTGGTACGTGTCCATTTGCAATCTTATTTTACTGATTACTACTTCCATTTTCCTATCGACGTTTTATCCTTTACTCCACTCGCAATGAACATTACAGTAGCTGAATCTGCGGCCGGTGTGAGAAGTCCACCAGCAGTCTACTTGCTCTTCCTTAATAGTATTCTCGACGAAACTACACGCATCCTCTACTGAAAAGTCACCTGAGTTATTCATATTTCTTCTTTCTGCAACTTTGCCCGCTCTTTCATTGAACCCTATACCCTTATCACCAGGAACCCAGATGACAGTGAGGTGAATCCGCTCGAAAAGCTTAAGGATGAGAGAGTCGGATCTCCTATGAACACAGATCAACGCGCTAACTACTATCTTGCTACCTGTAAGGATAGCAACCTTTTCGTTAGGAATCAATTTCTTAAGAAGCTTGCAAAGGGCCCAAGCCTCAGCTGAAAAGATGGAGCTTCTGCTATCTATGCACTGGCTGCCAATCACCGCGGTTCGATCTGCAGCCTCAATACCAACTCCTGTATCAGACTTGGAAGCGTCTGTAGCGTAGATCTTAAAACCTTGATTCACGTAATCATTAAAAATGCAGCGGGAAAATTGCTGTACCTCCACACCTGAGAGATTTTTGTTCTGGAACTCATACTCATTTATTTTGAAACAACACTTTACTTCTTCAGAAAAATCTTGCTAATTGTTAAAAGTAATATACTTGCTGAAATCTAGATCGAGATTGCTTAGCTTGCTTTTAACACACTGGCTAATGGGCCTACGTATTTAACCCACTTGTACTTGCATCATCAAACAATTTTTCAAACCATCCGCAATGGGAGAGGCTCCTGACAGAGCAATATTCTTTATTAGGAACTTGATTGCAGTGATGCATCTTCTCGTATCTAAGGTGAAAACCCCTGCTTCAACATATAACAACGGGAGAGGAGTGCTGATAGGCGCCCCAATAGCCCATTTTAAGGTGTGATTATAAACAATTTCAAGCCTTTTCTTATTTTGTTGAGAGGTAGACATGAGGAGGCAGCTGCCATATTCTATTCTTCCTCTTATTGTAACATTTGCAATATTAACGAGATCCACTTTTCTGGCACCCCACCTGGGGCTCGCGATGAATTTAAGTGTATTCAGCATTCTTTTCAGTTTCGGTACTATTTTATTTACATGGACGTTCCAACTCAGTTTACTATCAAACCACGTTTCTAAAATTTTAACATGATCTTCCGCAGCGATGCTGAAACCATCAAGCTTCAGTAGATTCTCTGCACTACTCTTTGGCCCAACGAAAATGATCGATTTACTTTTCTCTGGGGAAATGCATAAAATCCACTCTTTAGCGCATCTATGCACTTTAAACAGCGCACGCTTCGAATTACTGACTACGGACATCTGCACTGGACGTGGGGAACGAGACATCTGCACTGTGGAGGAATACGTCGTCCGGATACACGTAGCAGTCGACATCAGCCGGGATAATTTCGTAGATATCGTGCATGGAGATTGTGAAGAAAATTGGTGACAAATTGCAGCCCTGAGGGAAAACCGCTGGTAAGTTCATAGCTTCTTGAAAATACCCCTCTCCACTTTATTCTGATTGTTCTCTGGTTCAAGAAATTAGAAATTCAGAGGATACTATTCAATTTAAAACCGAATTGCACGATTTTATAGAGCAGGCCATCATGCTAAACTGAATCAAATGCAGCTTTGAGATCAAGAGCCACCAGCTGAACAATTTTCTATTGCTTCCTGTGGTGCAGGATGCTACTGAACAATTTATTAAGCCGGACCAGGCAACTTCTATTCGGAATAAAGCCGTAATGCATATTTGAGAGCCTTTTACTTTGCTGAATCCTCGGAAGTAATCTATTCAGAGTCATCATTTCCATCACTTTGGCAAGAATTTGCGTTAAAGAAATTGGTCTGTAACTGCACACCATCGCACTGTCGTCCCCCCTCCCCCAGGTTTCAAAAAAGGAATAACAATAACTTCTTTCCAATTCTCAGGGAACAGAACCGAATTTCATGAATTGTTGCAAGCCTAAAGTAGCGCTTGTTTGCAATCTTCAGCTAAAACTGTAATAGCATATCTTGTGAGGTCATCTTGTCCCGGAGCAGAGTTTTTGAGACTCCTGACAGCTTTATCGAGTTCTGAACCTGAGAAGGGGTTATAAATACGGCTACGCTCTTCGTCACTAAAATCCAGGGGGATGAAATTTTGAATAGTGAATCTTGAATAATACTTAGCAAACACTGTGCTCTCCACTTCTGCGGACCAGGTGTGGCTGTTCTGGTACTTTAAGATATTGTTCGAAAACTGGATCTGACTTTTTTATTTTGAATAATTTTAACTATCTTAAATAAATTACCATCCTTTCTGTTATGACTACAAATTTTTCCCCAATATAGCCTTTTCTTGATTTTAATGACCATCTTAAGGGAAGCGTTCCATTTCTTGTAAGAGATTCAGTAACCTCTTGAAAGATGAGCTTTAGCGAGTCTAAGGCATTTCCTTTTCTGGCCAAGAATGAAGTTACATTCTGTGTCCCACCACGGACTGTTTTTGCGTTGAATCGCAATTTTTTTGAGGTTCTCTTTTTTCGTAGCGCTCAAGATGCGGTTGATATTTTCCAGGTTTCTTTCTTCTGTGTGCAAAGCCCTGATTCTGTTACTGCATTCTGCAGCGAACTTCTTCAAGTCACAGTGAGCAATTATTCTCTGATTGCCAGCAGCTGAGGCTTGTTATCACTTGTGAACCTAATTTTTATAGGGTAGTGGTCACTGCTAAAGGGATCAGGAGAAAGTTCCCATTTCAATTGACCATAAAGCTCGGCTGAGCACAAAACGATGTCAATGCAGGATTCGATTCCTCCGCGACTTACATGGATGAGCTTCCCAGTGTTTAAAATGCAAAGACACCACTCCCAAAATCACTCTACACCCTGCTGACAATCTGCTTGACTCCCAAGCCGGGTTGTGACAGTTGAAGTCTCCTAAGATTATAAACTTGCCGGGCAACATAGCCAGAAAGGTATCCCACTCTTTCACGCTGAACTGGCCATTAGGGAGGTAGACGTTGATCACTGAAATATCGGAACTGTTTGCTCGAAGATCAACTCTCATAAGTTCTCCTCCCGCTATATCATAACGGCTATCTTGTACAAATAAGCTTGGCCTTTGTTTCTTAATGGCAATCATTAGTCCCTCGCCTTGGTAAGAGCTTAATCTATCTTTGCGAAAAGTAACTTTATCAGGTAAGCAAAAATCGTCCAAGTTAGAAAGCCAGGTCTCCTGGATAATTAAGACATCACAGAAAAATTCTTTCCTGCTAATGATAAAGTTTCTTTTGTTAGAGATGCTTCTTGCATTCCATGAACAAAACGTAGGTCCCATCGAACTAGATGAGAAAAGGAAGCAAAGAGAGAAGCAGGGGAAAAAAACGCTCATTTTATGAATAAAATCACAGTTTCTAACCTTCGCCAGACTTTTTTGGATTTGACGAGTCATGCTTGCTTTGTATACAGGCTTCCCTTGTTATAGACTCGGATTTAGAATGGGTTTCTTCTAGTTTACTAGTTTACTTCTAGTTTTACTTCTTACTAGTTTTATTTCCGTAATATGCTCATCCAAGTACGGATCACTGTCGGGTTCAAGAGCTCTTTTTCCCAATATGCTTATCCCTAGTGCATTCTGATATCTCACTCAACTTTGTATCGAGCTTCTCTTCCAACTTGTTAAACATGCTTTCATACTTTTGATCCAGCCCAGCTAAGATTCTTTCGAAATAATCAGCCTGCTGTTTTAAAGCACTTTCAAAAGATCCTTGCAACGCAGCTATTATTGGAGTCATGACTTTCAGGAAATCTTCCTTTGCAGGACCTGACACCTGAGTTCCTGCCACCTTCGCATAAGAATTTTTATTTGCTACAGCCTGCCTTGCTTCTACTACGGGAACATGTAGTCAGCACTATATATTAGAATATTGCCCTCTTGGATGTATTTGGGGCAATTCTTCGAAGGTGCTTCATGTGAGTTACTGCACACTGCGCACTTGATCTGCACTGGTATGATTTTCGCTACATTTACTACATCTTACTAATTCTCTACAGCTTTTAATCCCGTGACCAAACCTCAGACATTGAGGACATTGCCTTGGATTATAATAGTAACTTATAATCCTATGTCTTGTCAGCCATACTTTTACATGTTCTGGCAAGTGGTGTCCTGCAATAGTGACAAGTACTCTTTACGAGGATCTCTTGTTACTGTCTGAGCTTTTCACCATAAATCTTCTTAAGTTTAATACTTCAATACCGTTATTATAATTCAGCTCATTAGCTAGCTCCGAGAGCTCGACTTCTACTGGAATGGCCGACAGAAGAAATTTGCTTGTCTGTTCAGTCATGGCAAGCATCGAGGAAACATTTACTTTATGCAATTCAGATATGTTTAAACGATATCCAAAGATGATTGAAGATTCTCTCAGACGTGTTGATAATAAAAGAAAGAAGTGTGAAGAATACGTTGAAAGAATAAAAAGGAAGAAAGAGCAGAAAAGAGAAGAT